CTGTGCCCAATTATCTTTCATTGTTTCTTTTGTCACCCTCTTTCCCAAGGCAGAGCATCTGGTTTTGCTGCTAATCATTAAAACCAAGAGTTTTAACACCTGCTGATCTGAAAGCAGCTCGCTTTGGGGGCTGGCTGCACAGTTGCAGGTTAGGTGTAACAGCTTAGTCATGACTGGAAGTCATCGTGAAGCAGGCATGTGGGAGCTTCTGCATGATGGCAGCTTGTCGGTTTTTTCTCCCAGGCAAGGGGAATTTGCCCCAGGAGGCTTGGCCACCACAGCACTTCAAACAGCACTCTGCAAATGAAAAGTTTGTCGTAAGCGTGATGTGGCCAGCCTCATTTCCTCAAGTACGCAGCATTGCTTATTATGTTACCTTGTCCCTACTGAAGGTGGATCAGCCAAATTGGTTTCCACAAAGGACTTCTGTCTGCTAGCCAGAAATGGGGTTTTTAGGTTAAAGTTCACCTCATAAACAATCTGAACATGCTAGTAGATTGTTTCAGTTACAAAGTCAAGAAAAGTTGTAAAACAAGGAAACTAGTCTGTAACGGTAATTTAGAGAAATCCTCACATATTAGGGCTTAGGTGGCTTGGCAGCAAGTGCTGGAAATTAACTTGTCCCTATTACATTTAGAATTTTATGCTCCATATCACAGGAGATTTGTCTGTATGCCGGGTTGTCCGTACCCTGCTGTTTTGTTTCCCTCCATGATCCTTATCATATGAGACAGCATACCAATATTTCATAGAACTGGACAGTGGAGTGCAGACAGCTGTTAATGGACAAAGTTGAAATGATACACGTGAACACCAGTTTTTAGTTTTTCCCACCAGATGATTTCAAATCTGCTTTGGGCTGTTAATTTTTGGCAACTATATTTCAGAATTAAATCCTAATACGTATTATAATAAAATGAAAGTTGAGTTTGGTTAATAAAGTTTAAATAAAATGGAGAAATCATTTCTATGTACCTATATAAAAAGGGCGGGGGGGGGGGGTGTACCCTTGTGATGCACCTTGTGCATCTTCACTTCTTTTCTGCTTTTCTTTCAAGCAGTATATAAGCAATGTGCTGCTGCAGGTTGCTATGGAAAGCATAGCCCTGGTACTGTTTTGCCAACCACAGAGCTCTACAAAATTTTAGATCTGTACCTCCATGCGATACGTGTAGCTAAAACAGTCTCTGCTTCAGTACTGTATGGTGTGCCTGAAGGAAACACCTTTAAGTTTGCTCACATTCCAGATAGACTGATGGGTGCCTGTAGAGATATCTTTAAATGACCAGGTCATACATAAGGTTTCGATGTATGACCTAGTTATAATGATGTGTGACCTTTAATTTTTTCCTTAAAACACACTTTCCCTTTGTGAGGAACAAGTACTGTAAGGGAATGATGGGGAAGGATGGTATAACATGTTTGTGTGTGAAGTATGGGATGGACCTGCAAACCTTTGCTCAGTTGCACCACCACAGTGTCTGAGCATCAGGCAGATGGATTCTTAATAGTAAAACCTTTCAGTATTTCCTGGCTTCTATTGTTCCTTTTTTATTTCTTCATAGCCTTCTTAATGAAAAGCTTGTTCTATTCTCACTGTGAGTTGTGATATTATTCCAGAAAATTCTTTCTGCAAATGAGAACTAAACAAGCGTGGATGCGCTGAAGCATAGTTGGCTGCTGTGGGAACGTTGCCTCTTTGCCTCTACCTTTTAGTGGCCTATTCTGTGTGTATAAAACTACCTGCTGTCCCGAGGAAACTGCAAAAGCGTTTGGTACACACCTGACTTTTCCTCCAGAGGAACCAAAGAATTTCACAAAGAAAATTCCCATCGTGTAGTGAGCCTCCGTCAAGGGTCCTTCTGAGTGTCAGCTGTTCCTGGAGACAGCCAGTGAACCTCCCTGAACCACACTCACTGTAAGGTAGATAGGGAGCACAGCCTATTGTCTTACTCTTGTTAAGCCAAATTTGGCACACCCAGAAAGCCACAACATTTTTGTATGAAAATTGTTGATATTGTTGTTCTTTATATATGGCAGACAAATGTGGTGTAGAGCACCTCTGGACATCAATACGGAGAGAATCAGACAACTCCAGATCCAGAAGTGATGCACTGAAAATATTTAGTTTCATTCAACTGTCTAGATTGGTAAAACACTTCTTTTGTTGTGAGGTGATGTCGTATCTTAAACTATTTTCTTGATGAAGTGCTTTCAAAAATCATTTATTACGATGTCTGTGTTTCTGTGACTTCATTTTTTTCCTCCTGGACTCTGCTTTAACATTTCTCATTACACATTGTGAAAATATTTGTAGGGGTTGCTTACTGATAGGAAAACTTCTGCAGAGCAGGCTGAATGTGTTGGCACATGTCTGCGCTCAGCAAGAAGAGTAAGCAGGTTGTGTCCAGTCAGTGCCAATGCTGTTTCCAAGGATTTGAAAAAGTAATAACGTACTTCACATTTGAGAGTTCAAGCCGTACATCTCACTCCTAGTAAAAGCCTTTATAAGACTTCAGAGTGTTTTTTAAAATATATCCAACAAATCAAGGGTTATTACCTCAAAATAATATTACATCATTTAATTCTTTGTGCTGCTGCTTCATTGTACAGCAGGGTTTTTTCTGCAAACTTATAGCTGCAAGACATCAGCAATCTAAAAAATTGCTCTTTGCAACTACTTTGCAGCATATATATATGCAGTAGCTATATATGTAAAAAATTGAAGTGATTTTTAATATCTGTCACGAAAAAGATCTATGCCACAAAGAGCTGATACCTGGGGGTAACTTGTTTGATGAAAGCATTTGCATGCGCAAGGTACTGTCATGACGCACCACACTGTGCAGGCACTAAAGAAATTAAATCTGGACTGAGGAAAGAAGAGAGGTCAAGAAATGGTGGTGGCCTGTGGGCTTGTAACACGCAACTGCGAGAAAAGAACTGCAGGGAAGAATCATGAACTGATGTGTTTGAGCCTCTTGCATTAGCACATCTCATTAGTGATTCTGTGGTGTTTTCAATTCTCCAAGATTCTGACTTTAAAATGCAACGTGGCTAAACCACAAGAAGTAAAAAAAAAAAAATCCTTCTATTTTATAGTACATTAACTGTTAACTACAATATGCATTGCAATTGAAACAAATTTTCAAATATGGAACCTTATGTGCAACCTTGTGTTTTGTAGTAAAAAATCGCAACTCACTTTTCCTTTGGCTACAGGATTTTATTAACATTTTAATGGGTTTGTTTTACATAATAAATAAGCAAAAATGCTTTAAATTTTTGGGAATACATATATAATTCTGAGCAGTAATAGGTTGTTTGGTTTGCGTGCTTTTTCACCTACATTTGCCAAATAGCTTTTATCTGCATCATATAAAAAAAGCAAGATCTAATGTTTAGGAAAAAAAAATGGAATAATAACATTTTAACATATTCTCTGTGTTGTAATTATGACTGAAAGGGTAAAAAAAATACTTGGTGTCCTGTTTAGAGAAATTCTGATATTCTGGCAGGTTTCCCATTCATTGGCACTTTCTCTCAGTGATACCTTCTCCTGTTCTACATCTGCTGTCTGCTGTGCTTCATTTCATTAGATTCCTTTAATATCCTTTTTCAGATTACAGAGCTGCCATGACCAGGAGGGAAGTCTGTTTCCTTATCACATTATTTACACTGTGGTGTGTCTACTAATAAGATAAAAACTATGGGACCTCAGCATGGAATTAATGTTTCCAACTTTGCATTTTGGTAAAATATTCCCTCTCTCACTCTCTTTCTCTCTTTCTCCCTATCGGTTATTTGCTCAATCTGAACTCCCCCAAGAGTTCAAATCCTATCAAGTCACAGGACAGAGGTGTCTGTAGTGGCTCAGATGAGTGCAGTAGAGAGAAATGAGGTTATCTTTCATAATATATTCCAATTCACACTCCACTTCCATGACATAATTTTTTCCAATTATTAAAACCATCACCACTCTCATGGCTGTGCCACAGTCTGTCTTACAAGTCTGCTATGAACATCTGTAAATTAACTGACTAAAGTAATCTTTTTTCTCTTAATATAATTTACTCACATTCCAGATGTGAACATGCAATTGCTGTTTCTGTTCTGGAGGGGCAGGAAAAATGTTTCACAGATTCCGTTTGCTTTTTTAATTGCAGGTCTTTTCTAAACCCTACCCTGCATTATCATATGTGAATGTGTAATTGCTTCGTTATTGCCCAACAGGGAAAGTTCATGTACCTGAATATCACATGCCATAAAACATCTGTGGGAGAATGATGGAACACCTCCTCCGCTCAGGCTTATTGAATAGAGCCTGGAAGTGTGAATAACAAGGTAGACGCTGGAAAAATATTTTGTGGTATTTTACTGAAAAATATCAATGGCATTTTTTTAACCGAAGCCTAATTTGTGCCTTCCTGAAAACATGTTTTTACAGTAGAAGTACTTGCAAGAACAGAAAAAAACCACTAGATTAACCCTGCGTGCAGCAATGCCACTAATGAGGTACAGAGAAAAGTGTAGCATGAGAGCTGTGCATCAGGTTTCTTTTTAATGATGCAAACAATGTCGGTTACTCCTTTATAGGGCATGGTTTTCATTTAACAGAATTAACATACAGGTCTTAGCATAATTGTATCTTTTAAGGAGGTGGCTCCATTCATTAGTGGCCCTGGGTGGGAAGGCTATGAGCCAAAAGTAAAAACCAACCTATGGCTCATTGCTTCAATGTATGAAGTCACACTGACAATAGTATTCACTCATAGTATTTCTGTCATTCACCTATAACATTTCTGTAGGCTTGCTCACTTCTTTAGTGTTAGATGAACCAAGGAGTGCTCAGTTACACTGAGCGAGTGAATACGCTGCTTTGGTTTTATTCTGGTAGTGGCTGATGAGGGTTTTTTTGTTATATTTTTCATGCAAGGCATTTTCTTCAGCGCATGAAAAATTCAGACAACTGTGAGCTTCCAAGTGAATATCAGTTGAACTTGATAATAAAGCCTTCTCTGTTAACATTTTAATAGGAAGCAATACAAATACTGAAAATGGTAATTTCAAACATATGTCTTAAAAGTATTTTTGTGTACTCATAGCAATTAATATTCATATCTAGTTGGAGATATTGCGGTATTATTGCTGCATATAAAAGAGGGAGAACATGATTTTTAGAGGTGTGTATTTGATTACATGCATACATACATTCTGACAACATGCAATCCTTGAGCAAATGTTTTTCTGTATTGCACTAGACAGGTAAGCTTTTTCCTCAGTGGAGGTCTCTTTAGAGAGAGTCTGACAAAAGAGAGAAAGATTTAAAAGTGTAAATTAGCCTTGAATTGGGCCAAGAACCAGCTAAGTAAAACTGACCTGCATCTACAGCAACCTTTATTGTTGGTATTTACAGCCTGATTTAGGGAGCCATTCATTGCGTTATCAGGAGCACACAATGTTTGATGAAGCGACTGAAAAACAGAACCTGCTGACTATTGTCACTTGTGAACTGATGGATCCATATGCCCCATATGTACTTGTAAACTTTACAAAGAAGTAAAAAGGGGGGAATCTATTCCTAGCAGGCTGGATGAAATGTCGATGTGTGCTGTATGATTCTCTCCCACTGTGGTTTATGAACACAAACAGAGACTTGCAGACTGCTCAGTCCCAAGTCCCAGTGTGCTCTGGCCCTGCTTTGCTTCAACTGCAGCTTTGGGTTTTGTGGCTGTGTAGTAACTTTCGGCCTTCCAAATTCAGACTGTCCGCTGGCATTATTTGTGAAGTGCACGAATCAGTCAAATATTAATCTCACCTTTGTGCTGACAATGAAATTTACACCTAAGGAAGCTCAGTGTGTTAGAAGCCGAACCTTGCAAACTTCAGAAGTCTACTCTACGGTAAGTTTAAAATAAAGCATAAATGTTCATTATTCCCTTGACTATAAACAAAACATTTCTGGTGCTATTATCAGGACTTTTTGACTACCTGGTCTGAAAATCTGCACAGCATTTTCCCAGAACACTCAGTGAAACACACATTTTGAAAGTTTCTTATTACAACATTTTATGGGGAATAGCGTTTAGTTCTTGCTACATGATTTGTCCCAATTTGCCATGACAAGACCTGTAACCCTTTAATAGGTATCTTTGTATGTATTAATTTGTCATAGCATTCCTTGTCAAGGTAAATGGTGGTGGTAACAATCTGAGATTGGTGAAATCCATGTTAAATAAATTCAGATTTTATTAGTTTAAAAACTTTTGGATAATTAATAAATAAACTTGCTCGAAACTGAGTTCTTTTCTGTACTTAGTACAGTTGTAGTACAGATACTGAAAATCACTACTCTTTAAACAAAGTTAATTCGTCAGGGTGTTTAACACATAGGTGGAGAGTTGATGTCAAGTTTCACACCATTTGTCGAAAGTACCTAAACTAGAATGTAATGTTTATGACAATGATAAAAAAATCCTGAATGTATTTTGAGAAGGAGGGGTTAAGGAAGAAGTGTTCCTTATATAAATCTCTGCGTGTAACACCTATCATTTAATTTTGTTGCACACTATAAAATAACAAAAATAAGATCTCTAACATGTCTGTCTTCTCACTGGCACTCGAGTTTATCTGTGACAATGAAGCATGGAAGCTAGATGTAGGGTTTTTTCCTGACCTTGAAGGTACTGTTACACTGTGGCTTGCCAGGAAAACACCAGTCTGTCCCTCGTTGACCTTCAGCTATGCTCAGTAAATGTAACCATTTTGTAACCAAATGTTTTCTCATGCTTTTTGCAAATCATTGCAGTTTGGCTTCTCAGTAAAATGTAAGTATTCCTCTATTACTGTCACCTTCCATTGGCTATTATTACCGAAGTTCCAATATAATGGGGTAGTGCAGTTTCCTTGTGGGTTTCTGGAGAAGAAGCTGATGAGGGGCTTTGGTTTTTGTAAATAAATGTATTTACTTCCTCGGAATTGTATCCATAATTTTCTCCGTGTCCTGTTGCTGTACATGATGAAGTTTGAAATGTACCATGTTTTGCTAAAACATGGTGATAATTTAGAAGCACAAATGGAACTTGTCCAGAGGGTCTCACATCCATCACACGTTCACTTTCAGAGTCATGATCAAGCTTTGCAGTCATTCTCTCATCATTGTCCAGTTCATCTAGATTTGTAGAATGGTGACTAATGTGCCCATACTTGGGTTCTTTCATACAAATCCTTCTTGTTTGCTCATATACTGAGGGCATTGGCAGGAGCTGACTTAACTGTCCTATAGCTTTAGACTGGAAACATTCTGATTTTGGCAGCAAGGAGTTGGCTATTGCGTTTGAAAAAGAACTTTCGTTAATGCTCATTTTTTCTTGCAGGTCTCTGTTAAAAGCTAATTTGTTTTCTTCTTTAATGAGGTGGTGAGGTGGCTGCATCCTGGTGTCTATTTTGTTGGGTTTCATGATGCCAGAATCGTAAATCTCTTCTTTGTACCTGCTGCCTGGCATGGGTGCTGCACAGCTTGTAAAGTTGTCAGATAGAGCTTCTTGGCTGTATCTTCTGTTTGATATGGGCACTTGCAGGAAAGAGAAAACATGTTAATTACTGACAGTGAGCTCATATAATAGTTAGACTCTAACACTTTTTATAACTGAATGGTAAAACCCATTTGGTTTGGGCTGGATCCAAGCCCCAAGGAAGATGCCAGAGACATTCCCACTTGCTTCAGTGGCTTTGAGTAAGTCTCCTTAAGACAGTGCTGAAAAGTTGAAAAAAAAAACAAACCCAGAAACAAACCCCCAAAACCAACCCATTCAGAAATGCCAACAGTGCTGATCAATTCCAAAAAGGTTTTCCATGTGACATGCCCATTTGTTTATTTGACTAAATAATTATAAATAACTATCATTATTAACATAGTTAAATAAGGGAAATTAAACCAAAGATGTATTTGGAAATGTCACCTGCTATCAAATATCTTGACCTTAATTAAGCTTTTTTTCAGAGATTTATCAAATGATTTACCAAAAGATGGGTAGCATTAATTACATGTCAATGGTGGTTAGTGTAAAACTGAATTTATTCTTCCTGTCACTTTGGAAGTGTATCGGATTCTTTCCTTGTAAGGAAAGAAGAGAGTGCGCAGTGTTAGGTGCTGCTGTGTCAGTATCTAATTCGTGACATGTATATGTGATGTATCCAATATCTAGAGTGTGTCACGTTAAAAAGCCTTTGCTTTTTCTCTTTGAAAAACTATCATCAGACAAGAAAATGACCTATTGAAAAGCAACACAAATACTTCTTGAGTAATGCTGTATCTCTCCTTTTAAGGAACTATCATGCAATAAAGCTATCTGTATAATAAATATAATTCTAATTTACAACATACACTGAGAATGTCTGTGAATGTGGAGTGCTGAGCTGGGCATGCATGGAAAATCAGAAGCTAGATTCTTAAATTTTCAAGTGAGTGTGAATCTAGGATTTCTATTCAGGCTTGTTCTCTAAAATCTATTGAGTAATCTTAGTTTTCTCTTATGCTTCTGCATGGTAGCTGAACTCTTGAAACAATTTGAATTATTTTTATCATTTTCAGCTTGGTTTACCCAGCTTTTCCATTTTGTACACTCCTATCTGCAAATGGCAAGGGAGAAAGCCGCTGGTTTACTCCTGTACAATATGGGTAAAGTTAGGTGAGCAGTATTTTTTGTGCACTGTCTTGTATGAACAGTTTGGCAGTTATACTGCTCCTGCAAGGCATATTTGAAAGTTTTATGTTAAAGGTTAAATGAGGCACTTACTTAGCAAATTTCTCACATTAAACCTAAACTCTGTTCTGTGCTATGCTCACTGAAATCCCTGGACACCAAAGTGCCTTTTGTAAAAGGCATTTTCTGTTTTTCTAAAAAATTTATTCAACATCTGAAAAGTTTTGGAGGTGCCCTGTAGTGGTTGCTGATATAACTGTAGCTGCTAATAATTAAATATTCCCCGTGCTATACGAGACTGGTGAAGCCTTCGTGTATAGCAGAGGAAGCAGAAATAGCTCAATTGTACCATTTTTATATGCAAAGCTTCATCAGTTTCAGAGGGAGTCACACCACATAATTAACACCAGAATTTAAACAGGAATCTGGATCCAATTTCTTCATGATCAACCCACCACCCTCCTAGAAACAACAACCCTTCAAGTTATTCTTTTTAATTTCCATGTATGCGTCTTGTACCAATAAGTACATGCAGTCCTAAGTAAACTGAATTCTCATCAGCTGTTGAAAAATGGCCTCCATAGATCACAAATCAAAACAGGGGTTCAGCCACATACTTGAGTGTAGTTTGGAAATTTTACCAGTGTAATTACACTGCTATAATTTTAACTGTATTTGGCATTTTTACTGTGAAATAAGTATGCATGCTGAGAGCTACTGCCATATAACTATTATGGCTTAACTAATCTGGTATACTGATCTCAGTGTTTTTCCCCATTGAGTCATCCACAGGAGTGATGGGTTTGTTGTCTTACTGCAGCACGGAGTGTTGTTGCTTTATGGCCCTTCTCCAATCTCTGAACAAAAGATTCTGCTTTTCCATTTTTAGAGCCCAGACTTGTAAGAAGCTGAAGTATCACAGCAACCAGTTGGCCCCTGTCCTGTTATTTTCATTTTTACATTCTCAAATTCTGCTGGGCTGCTGTCTGCCTTCTTGGTACCAAGAAGCAATTTGCATACTTGGGAGATTTACAGGATACTATCTATTTCGTTCTATCCTGTTTCTCAAAACTGGTTTTCATCTCTTCTGTTGAGGAAGAAGGTAAGCATCTGGTTAATTGTTTGCAGGCTTCCATTAAGGTTGTCAGCACATTTGTGGAGTTAGACCAGACAGATAACCAAGTTGTGTCTGCAGTGCAACAGAGCATAGTCATTTGTGTCCACTCACATTCCGAACAGTTGCTGGAGCTAGACTTAAATCTGCCTGTGTCTTTCTTTGCAGACAAAAACCCAAGGATGCCCTGCAACAGACTTCTGCTGCTGAGCTTTTCATACAGAAATTCCTAGAAAGCTGACCAGCTCTTTGTATTGCTGTAGAAAGGCAGCACTCCAGGATTGCTTCCATCAATCTGGTACATGGGCAGTTGCCAGAGTACCTGCTTCAGCAGGTGCATGGGGATCCCATGCATTCTGCACTTCTCCAGTACTGGAAACACTTTACAATCCTTGAAGTCAATGCATTAATTTGGGTTGCTTTCTGGACCACTCTTCTGCCAGAGCAGCTCAGCCACACCAAGTAAGGTAGATGCACTGCACATTTCTAGAAGGCCTTTTATACTAATTTACACTTCATTCAGATCAGCCTGCAACTGCAACAGCAACCACAAATTGAGTCCTTCAGGCACCATGACTTCATTAATTCTTGCCAAGTAGCTTTGCTTTCCTGCTTGGCATGCAAGGTACAGCTTGGGCAAGTTGAGGGAAAACCTGGAGATAAGAGCCCCATCACCTGGCAGCCTGCTTAGATTTCAGCATCCAACCATCCAAGTGGGAACAGGAAAGCTACTCTAGCAGGTATTGGCCTTTCTCTAAAACATGTCTATTCATAGTTACAGTATACTAGGGTGAGCTTTCCTCTGCCAAACATAGTGTGCAGTGAGGAGCATTCCCTCCTCACTTTTAAACAGTGCAGTCAAAGATCAGATGATGCTCACTGGGGAGAGATGTTTGCAGAAAAAGTATTTCATTCACAGAAATGCCTCTCTGCACCAAAACATTAATAGGCAGAGCTGCTCCTTGTTCTCTTATTGGATGTAATTTCAGTACAAATGAAAGAAAAGCATCTTGGAACCAAGTTAAAGCAAAGGGAGACTGGTCCTCAGCACTGATTGTTATGTGAAATGCATGCAGTCCTTATCAGCAGAGTTTTGCATCCTGGCTGTGAAAACCATTGTCTGTTTTTAGGATACGGCTGAAGCCCTCTTCATGCATGTTTTGTCTTGCATATTTTTTTCTTGGGCTTTATCATCTACGCTTATTGCAGAAGAGTTAATCTGACAATTACTGTATGTTTTGAAAAGACAATATGCCAACACTTGAATGCTGACATGTAGCCTATATTTCTTAATTCTTTGCACAGGAGTGACTAGCGAAGAGGGAGCAATTACCCAGTCGCTCTGAGTTTTGCTGAAGACCAATGAGCAGAACAGCTGTACTGCTCAGATCATGCACTCCTGTGTCACAAAGGCGTGTAGATATTCCTCTGTGTCAAACAAGGTAAAGATACAACAGGTCTCAATACTGTCCATGCCCATGAATAACACTTTCTTTAGATTAGCTCAATATCTCTGCTTTGTGCTGGTCTGAATTCTAATTTAAAATCATGTGAGGCATGAGCTGGTGTTGCAATTATTACGTTCCCCATTATTGTCCCTCCAAAAACAATGGTAAGGCAACATGATCTTCAAGACCTCTTTGTCTCTAGCAGAGTGTTCTTTTCAAAGAAGATGTCATGTATTTCTCTGGTAGTCACTAGCTGAACCTGTGGACTTGGTCTGGGGGAGGAAAATAGACCAGGGTTTTTTCACAGATTTTCTTAGTATTCTTCATAATTTCCTGAGCTTTGGCATGATTAGCAGCACCAAGCTTCACGCAGATAGTACGGACTGGCCCACAGCATAACTTGATGAGAAGTGGGTACTGTAGTAATGTATCCATCAATTGTACAAAGGAAACTTCCCCGGCTAAGAATATGGTTGCCTTCTCTGAAGTGTGTTTCTTTTCTGATGACTAGGCCAGCTGGAAAGAAGTGGAAGAAGCTTCAAAACCAGATTCTGAGGCAGCAGCATCTGATTTGCAGGCAATTTTATCTGCTACGTGCTTTTCCAGAGCTTTGACGGCTTGGCATGATCATCTTAAAATCTCTGATCTCTCCAAAAGAAGCTATTTTCCATAGAGAAAAATGTCTCTGGCCTACGGCATTTTTGGCAGATGCTTCTATGCATGTGATGTGGAATAGCCCTTACATCCAACCCGGTTGCCAGATGTCATACTTGGCATTGCCTTTGGATTGAAGATAATGACGCTAAGCAGATCCACTCTGCTTTGAAGCTAACTGGCTGTCAGTTTTTCAGTGAACCACTGGAAAAAGCAACAGTTGACAATGTAAGGAAGATCAGATGCCCCTTTCAATTCAAAGCAAAAAGTCGCTTCCAAAGGTTTGGATTTCTCCCTGACACCAGCCTCAGCAGAAGTTCAACAGGGTTAGTTCTACCTCAGAAGGAAACAAACTCTGGAACAATTAGGTATAGATCCTCTTTGCAGTGGAAGTTCCATTTTAATTTCCCTTCTTGTAACATTGTGTGAACTCAAGCAATGACCTCTGACCAGGCTTGAGTTTGACCATATTCTTTTTTCCTTCCAAAACAGTACATTTTAAGTGCGTTTACAGAGAATTAATTGTACCAAGTCATTTTTCATCAAATGTCCAATAGGTAAAGACCTATTAAAACATTTCATTTTAATGATCTCATGATCATTATAAAATCATAAAAGGATCCATTACATTTGTACTGTAAAGAGAACCCACATATTACAACCTAAGCAACAAAATCTATGTAGAAGTAGAACCAGAGGTAAGAACTACTGGCATCACAGCTCTATTTTGCTGTTCATGAGGAAATTGAAAAATATTAGTTGCTTGCAGGTTTTTGTTGGGATTCTTTTTTTTACCCTAACATATTTAACAGTGTTCCTGTGGAATCCTTCTGGCTTTATGTTTACTAGGAGTTATCTGCCCATACCAACCAACCAACAGTAAACTGCCTGTCTGCTGCTAAGCTCACTGGGGTTTTCTGGCAAGTATTATGGCCACAATCAATTTCACAGACTGTTCTCTGAACAGGCTGTTCTTTCCACATCCATTCTCAGTGTATCTGATGGCACCCTCTGACCAGCTAGGGGTGGATCTACTTTCTTGGTCAGTCTCATGGCATATGTGAGTCTAGAAGCAGAGAAGAAAAACTGGGCTGATTTCTGTACACCTAGGATAGCTTTGCTCCTGCAGACTTTCTGGGGAGCTGCAGGATTTACTGCAGTCTTTATACATTTTCTCAAAAGATACAGCCTTTTCTTCTTTTCCACAAAGATACAGCATCTTTAGAAAGGACAAAACCATTTCTTATTTTTGGACTAAAGCTACTCCTTTTCACAGCCAGTCCACAACAGCAACAGAAGAAAGCCAGCGCATCAGAGGACCATAAGCTCAAGGAAAACACTTAACCTGCACTAGGCTGTAAGAAGAGCTTCAGTCTTGCTCATTTTAAACCTAAACACAGAACAGTAAAATAGAACGCTACAGCCAGTGAGGTGAGGTCAATCAGCCAGGTGAGGCTGAATGGTCCTGTGAAGGACAAAGCCCTGGGCAGAAGTTATTTGCTCCTCTGTGGGAGACACATTCAATGTCTGATACCATTTTCTGCCTGATGTAGCAAGCTCAGCTTTTAACATGGGCAGATATCCCCTTCAGGTCCAGGATGTCATGTCTCTAAGTGAATAAATGCTTGTTTCTGGTGCTCAGGAATCTTGAGCCTGTCTTTTCTATCATTTTTATTTTAAATTTCCACCACTACTTCCATCCCATCCTCAATGAGGCTAGAAGAAAGGGGTGTTTCCATCTAACTTTGCAACAATATATCAACCACTCAGTCCTCATCGATGATTTTTTAACTAATCAAAATGGTGTATGCAGATAGATTTAAGGTATATGAGATCTAAAGATTAGAGTGTATCTTAAACTTGCTTATGTTAAGTTGGCTTTGCAAGGTTATTTCTTATAGGTTGTCATCTCAGAGAAGCCAGTGTCTTTAGTGCTTCCTTCAAAGTATTTGAGCTGACCATCTGCATGAGTGAAAATGCAGTTGGATGGGGAGGAACACTGAAGACATTTTTGAATAAAGCAGAAGACAGTGCATTTTACTTACTCATTCACTGGAGTAACTATAAGGTAAAGACAAACAGAATGGCTTCATACTCAGAAAGGACAGCCTTCAGTTTTTATAGTAATAGATCACATTTATTTGAAAGTCTGTATAAGATCTGAAGTATATTTGTTTCTTTCTGACTTCAGATGGCTTACTGGAGCAATTGCACTGAATAACTGACTGATAGTGCAAACACAAAGATAAACTGTGCTGATATTAAAGGAGGTGTTATTTCTGCCCTATTCTAAAAGTGATTCTGGTGATTACATTTTTGCAACTGATGCCTTGATAATATTCCTAATCAAGTGCTGATGGCAATTGGAAGAGGGATATAAATACTATAAACATAGTGGTTGTAACACTTTGCTGTTTCTGATTTTCCATATTTCCTAAACACTTTGTAATTCTTGTTTCCAAACTACAATTACAGATCTTCCCCAGACACCCACAGCTTTTCTTTTTTTATTTTCTTTTTTTAAAGTGACACCCACCTTCATAACTCTGTGCAAGGTTATGTCGGATGATGTTCACTGGCTGATCAGGAAGATTTTTGGATGGTGACTGGCTGTTGGGTACCAAGGAGTTGGCATAATGCCACTGGCATTCTCCATTTGTCTGCAGCGTACTCAAGAAAAATCGAGCCACTTCACAAGGTGCTCCTTGAGACTGCCCAAACTTTGAAGGCAGCATTTGCTTTTTGCTACTGAAGACATGAGAATCTACAGGGAAGTGTCCATAATGGTAAGAGAAAGGCAAGCTATATGACGGGGCATATAAAAGTTCACTGTTTTCTGAATGGAAGTTTTGTTCTTGAATGGTGGCAGCATTCACTGCAGGGCTGGATCGCCAGTTTCCCACCTGGCTGCATTCCAGTTTGTCTGTTTGGAATGAGCTGTATTGCTGGGGGGAAGAAATACAAAAAGGAGGGGAAGAGAGTTAAATGACTAGCTTTAATATGAAACTGCATAGCATATCATACAGGCAGCCAGAGCTAGGCCTCCTTGAGCTCCCATCTCACTGGCTAAAGGGACTGGCTTACCAGTGCATTTGAAGATCTTTGTCATCATGATAACTACTTGCACTTAACATAAGAACAAAAAAAAACAAAAACCAACTATTTTTTCATCCTAATTTTAAGGGTTTATTTTATAGTTTTGTCAGTTGCATTTAGCTATGAAGTGCAGGCATTTGTAAATGTTAGTGGGTAGAAGTTTGTCACAAAGCACAGGAAATCGCTGATTTATGGAGTAGCAGACCATGAATATGATTTTGCATATGTTGGCATGACAAGATTTAGAATGATAGGAACACAAACCCTGTCCTTCAGATCAGCTTCTATCACAGTAGTTTTCCCACTCTCTTCCACCCTCCTCTCCAGGCTTCAAATGCTTTTTGGGCTCTCACTGTTTTGAATGCAGTATATGTACTAGCTGCACTCACTGCTAGTTTAAGGTAATAGTAGCCCCTTCTGTCAACGTTCATTGCAAAGTCTCACAATATCTCATGGTGGGTGTCAGTCTCATTTTATGGACAATCTCCACCGTTTCCTTTCATGTCTGGTTCTAGCTCATCCATAGACAGAGAGATATCCCAAATCCCACTCAATGCTCTGTTTGCTAGGATTCATTCTTAACACGTTCTCCAGCATAAGGAAACTGCTAGTACCTATGTGACACTAAGAACTTTGCATATCAACAGTGACTGAGATGCATTCTACAGCAGCAGTTTCACAACACAGCTATTCTTAGTATATGTTTTTCTTCTTTTTACCAAGAAAGCACATTGGTTTTGAAGTACTTTACATACTCTATATCCAAAAGTTTTTGTTTGTATCACTTGCCAGCATTGGTTTGTACTACATGTGCTGTCCACCCCAAGAACAAAAGAGTCTAATTGCATTACAGCCTACAAGGGAGTTCTTGTGGCAGAGCATACTATAGTCAGTTCATAGAGTAAGTTCAGTTCTGGATGATGTCTATCCTCCCTCAAGCACTCTACAACAAGAATTGGTAAGAAATATTGCTGAAAAGTTACCTGTTGTGGGTAAGGCGTTGTTCTGAGTTTTGCTTTCATTTTATTACTTTTGGGTTTCACTATTTTCCTTGTTTCCTGCGAGGTAGATACTGAGTTTCTGCATGAAAACTGTGATTTAGAAATGGTAGCCTGGTCCAGTGACAACTGAAGTTCCTTAAACTCAATATCTCTGTAAAAGAACAGTTGAATAAATTACGTACTCAAACATAGCACAATTCCAAAATAACTCCTTTGAAAATACATGTTAGATTTCACAGCATTTTCATTTTGATTCTTCAAAGATTTTCACTGAGTCTGCAGTGCAAGCCTGGGGATGCCAGCAGGCAATGTATCTTATGGTCTGAGGCCATCCCCACACAAGTCTATCAGAAACGTTCCACTGGGAGCCACATTAACATCTTTGTACTAAATGTCTCCACTCTCTGAACCTAAGCTATGCCAACTTCTCAGCTATTGGTGGCACCCTGCAGTTTGAAATCACAGCCATGTCAGCTAATGGAGAGACACAGATCAATTCATCTGTCTACTACATAATCAGGAATTGGTCTCTGCCCTGGCTCTTACAATTATCCCCGAGAAAATGAAAAGGAGCCATGCTCCTCTCCTGTCAGCACAAAGTGCTTGTAACTAGATCACATGAGGTACAGTGTCATTTTTCTGATAGTTTCTAGACCTTCATTTCTGCTCTGTTCTGTTCATTTCTTTTCTGCCCCACAGACAGGGCAGATTTTTTTTACAAAAGAGGCTAAAACATCAAGAACAGACTGTGGATAGTATTTTGGAAATTTTATTTGATACAGTTCTGCTGTTTAAATGGTCTTCCCTGGTTTTGTCAATAGCAGCAGTGGAGCGTATTTTTGAAAGGATAACTAGTAAAACTCCCTACTTCTCTCTTAATTTCTATCTAGAACTCATTTCCATCAATTTTTAATGGGGGATAACCTGGAAGTAAATTCAACTCAAGAATACGCCGTTCTATCCCTTGTACTGTGTCCTCCTTTTTAGTCAAATCACTTGCCTCAGCTCTTGGGACTCAAGCAGGTTGCAGGGCTATGTCTTTCCCTCATGTTGCTGGCTCTCACATCTGTACAGATATGAGGGCAGCATTTGCCAGTGTGTCTAGGGCTGAGTTTAAGGAAACACCCTATGGGTTCTCAACTCATACACATTGACTCCCCAAAGTCAGGTTATCAGAGACAACATTGCAGTATGCAAACACACATGACCCTACCACATATATCATGCAAACATATCTTACTTTCAGTCCAGATAAGAAATAAACCAGTCTAGTAAAAAGAAGAGTGCACAGCTCTCTGCTTTTTTACACTATTCAACACAAGGGGTGCCCACTAGCCCTGTTTTTTTTCCCCCTCCCAAAGTAGTCTTTTCAGTCACAGCCTGTTTCACTATTACTCATCTCTCTCATTCCATACAGATTTCCGTCTCTCAGAGGTTTATATCAGGATAGGAATTTTGTAGCACCTTCATGACTTGAACTAGAATTCATAAACTGCAGGTCCGAAGAGCTGTACTTTCACAAGCTCTGTGGGAGGTACTCGCCACTGTGTGTAGTTTTACACTCAGTATCTGTGCAACCCAAGGCAAGTGAGGGAATCCTCAGTGATTCAAATGTCCCTTCCTAACCTATCTCTGTCTCCCAGACTTGACATTGTAATCTCTGCTGCGTAGCAGTAGCTGTCACTGTGTCTGGACAGCCTCAGAGCAGCTCTGACACCAATTACAGAACTGGGGCCCAGATCTAATGCAAACAGCTACAAGTAGGATTACATTCAAGCATATGGTGTATGAGATAATCATCAGGAATACAAGCTCTTTTTAGCTGAATGTAACTAAAAGAGGGAAGATATGAGAAGAAGAAAGTGGCTCTAATATGCAAGCACAGAATGATACACAAGTAAAGCAAACTTAAAGGATTTAATTAGTAATGAATCAATTACAGGTAACACACAAAATGAATCAATTACTGATAACACACAAAATTAATCTATTACTGATAGCACGTAATGGTACAAAGTATTTTGACTTACGTAAGGACATAATTGACACTCACTATGCAGTGAGGCCGTGATGAACGGCTGTTATGCACGATAGTAGCATAGCTCTGTACCCAAACCCAGCCTCCATGCTTGGACAGTAGTCGATAGTACTTGGTTGTGACTTGGCCTTTCACCAACACTGTGAGTACAACACAAAAAAGCATTTCTTATTGCTTTGCTTTGTGACCACTTCCTGGAGAGATTTATCTGCAAGGAAGGGACTTTTGTCTCTCATTTCCCTCCCTTAAATCTCCTTGTTCTCCCACCAAACTTTAAATAACACCCTTGCAAAGACACCAGTCCTGCCCCTTTCACAAGGTAACGTTATTTTTCACGAATAGTATGCCTTAAACTATAAAGGTTTGTCTTCCTCTTTTCACGGTCACCCTGCTCCTTTACGCTTAGACTGCAAAAACACTTACTGTTTCTAGTCTTCTAACTGAAAAAGAAAAGTTTAAGGCAGCAAAAGTATTTTGAAGGGGACACACCAATCTTGAATTTTTCCACTGTATTTGGAAGTGCTTTTGTCATTCATAGGTTGATGGATTGTGTATTTTGCAATGTGTTTTATGATATGATGCTTTTTCCTCTGTAAGCTCTACATTTCGAAGTTTGATTTTAAATGGTAAATTTATAATGGTGTTTGGTTCTTCAGCACACAAATAAAGATAAGGACAGAGGGGCGAGTACTTATCCGATAGATTTCACTAAATATATAATCCTCTATACTTAGATTTGGGTTCACTCTGAACAAAGATGTTTTGGCATAAGACTATGGTATAATAAGGGTTGTGTAGCATGTCTAAATATTTAATCTAGCCACAGATATTTCTGGTTCAGTGCCAGGCATTTATCTGATGATTCACTAACAGATAATGCCCAACCTTCAAAGGTGGTTCTTCTCTTGTGTGTCCCTGGAACATTCCTCTTACTCTTCCATACAATCATTTATTTTAAATTAGGAAATAAGGGACTGATCTTGCTACATAAACTATATTCAAAACTGGTGATCAACAGCAGCAATTTCTTTATACAAAACAATTAAGATATAGAAGTAATTAATTTGCAAATGTAGGGCTTGCAAATGTAGGGCTTTTATTAGACTGAACTTACTAGCAAAGGTCTCTGTAATTTTGTTCTCTAATAGTAAATAGAATTATAGAATCATAGAATCGTTAGGGTTGGAAAGGGCCTTAAGATCACCAAGTTCCAACCCCCCTGCCATGGGCAGGGACACCTCACACTAAACCATATCACCCAAGGCCTCATCCAAATGCTTGGTGCAGAAGCAGATACAAACTGAGGAAAATGAGCAACAGCTTTTGCTTTAAGCCAACTCTAGTAGAGCAAATGACCACTTGAAATGAAACAATATGGCCTTTATAAATAGTACTCATAGGAGATTTTTCTGACAAAGAGGACATTAAATATTAAATTGAGAATTAAAAGGCGCATCATTTTTGGTATTTGTCTACTGTTTGGTAATTAACTATGTGGCTATTGGTCATCACTGGGGTTGACTTTTTTTGTGTTCAGCTGTTACTTTGGAGAGTAGGGAATTGTAACTTCAAAAATAATCAGAGACTGCAGTAATAGTAAAATATAGACAGCAGTAATGTGAATAATGTGAATAGACCAATGCTTACATTTTGGCCTAGATCATCTAACAGATACTTTTTTTTTAATGCGGTCTAGGATTTTCAGAACTGTCTTCATGCTAGTTTAATGGTCAGGTTTCCCTCGAATTCAAAATGCCTTGCTACTCAGTCTTCCAAAATGTAAATTAACGTTGTAATGGATCTCTAGCTATAACAAAGTTCTTCCATGTGCTTTGGGATTAGTTTTGACTTTCTCACACTGATTTTTTTTAAATCCCTGTTTCAGCTCTCCAGTTAAGACAGTATTTTAAAAGATGTGAAAACCACAGAGAACTACAGTGTTCAGCTTTTCTTCCTAATTATATGGATAAACCAATATTTCTCGTGGGACAGGGGAGGACTCCATGTCTCCTGCATTTTTAGCAATCTGAGGAAAGTCTGACCTTGGCTAGGGGACAGTAGCTGTGCTTCTGATACAGTAAATGAGGTAAATTTCCCTTTGGCTCTGTGTTAAATTACCATGTTTGATGCTGATTGGGAAACCTCAGAAGTGGGAGTGAGGTAAATTCACTACCAAGACGATCTGTGCAGGCTAAGACTTCTTGGTGGCCTCCACTGCAATCAAATGAGGAGGATTCAGTGGCTTTAGCCTTGGCTTTTAGATGTGCCATTTGTAACTGGGTGTTCCGCTGCTGTGGTTCCCTCCTGGTTTAGCAGGCAAACTGAAAAAGACGCTGGGCTGGCTGGGCTGGTCCGTCTGATTTGTCATAGATGGCTATTTTAAAATGTTCCATCAGGCTTACAGACATGTGGCTGGGAGTTCTGCATTTAAGGATGCAACTAAGAGAAATGGACTTCTTGGTTCCAACCTCGCAGCAGTTACTAGTTTAGCTTCCCTGGCACACACAGCCTGGCATGTCATCGGCACAGACCTCAAGCAGCATGGTCAGTGGATGGTGCCGCAGAATCTTCTAAGGCAGAATCTTCTACAGTTCTGCCCTCTTAAAAACCTGTGGAGCTCTGTCAGAAAGGCTGATTGCTGGGGAAGTAAAAGTAAACTTAATGCCACAGCCAGAGTGTAAACTGTGCTCTGCTATAAGATAGGTTCTAGAAATACATAGGTTGACTTCCAGGAAGCAGCAAAACTGTGTGATGATGACATCAGCTGGGGCTGTGGCTGGAGCTGGGACTAGGGACTGGGCTTGGGCTTGCCTTGCCAAGGCACTGAGATGTGACTCTTGTGAAAGTTTATGTGGGAAAAGCAATGATGTTATAACACGTGGGATTCACAAAATCATCCGCGCAGAAAGATAATGGTACAAATGAAGTGACTTCTCCCAGGCCAGAAAAATATTTTGTCTATACTGGAACAGAGGGATATTTTGTCTGTACTGGAACAGATTTTCTATCCTGTCTTTTAGGATGCAATACCCTTAGGCAGGGACTCATTATTTGTGTAGACACATTTCCCCAGTTGCAGAGCAAACACTGTGTATATTGATGGTGCTATAGAAATAAATAGCACTAGTTCAAACACCAGAAGCTTTTTCATAAATCTGGAAGCTAATCAGATGTTTAAAACAGGAAGCACTGTATGCTACTAGCACCCCTTAGGCAAATATTCACATCTACAGTTTCTTCATGGTCTGATGTTCTTGTTATATCCCTTCTAACTAGTTCTCCTTGCTGTTTCCTTTGTTTTGTTCTCTGCACTGCCCAACTTAAAGTTCAGTGGCTTCAGGTCTTCAGTTTAGGATTTTTTTCCTCTTTGAAAAAGCAATTGCTTACCCTAGTTTAGGATTTCCTTTTTTATATTTCCTTTTTTTTTCTTTTCTTCCCTTAATACCGTTATTAGGTGTAAGATGTTTCTCTCCAGATTTCTTCATCAGATGACACTTAATCATCAGATTGCTTTAGAGAATGGGATGTCAAACTTGCCAACCTTTTACTGTTCACATTCCTCAAACATTTACTGATGGATTGTGGGGGAGTTAGAACAGTGCTCCCCAGAGAAAATTTGTACATTTTACATCTGTTTTAATAATTCCTATTACTTGGTATTCTAACCATGATTGTACACTGTTGCCCAAGCAATAGCCTTTATTTTTTGCTTCTTGGCATTTATTTGCTTTGAAACTTTCATGAATTTCTATGCATATGGCTCACATTTTTTTTCTGTTTCTTTTTGAACTTACAATCACTTATCATTGTAATTCAGACAGAGTACCTAGAGAATGGTTTTTAGTTATTCTGCTTGGTTGAGGGTATTTATTTTCTTGGGGGGAAGGTGTAATTCAGTAAACATGGTTTGTCTCTTTATTTAAAACTCCAGTTGTACATGGATCAAACTGGCAGCCAAATTACAAGTTTTCTACCACACACAGAGAATTATTCATCATTCTGCTCTAAAATGGAAAACTCTTCCCCAGAGATGATTGCGGTTATAACCGCATCATTTCTATACTGGTTAACATAGGTATTCTAAATAGTCTTGTGAAGATAGTGGTATTTTATGCAGGTCAACAGTCACGTCCAGGTGGAGCCATTAACACTACAAAGAGAATGCCCCCAACAGGACATTACTATATACCCTGGTCATTCTAGTTTTTAGTTTGCAATAGCCCAGAGCATTCAGTGGTGTTCTGGCAAATATGAACTTGCTGTGAAGACCAGCTTCTGCTTTCCCAGATGTAATACACAATGCCATCAGCAGAACTTGGCATTTGGAATTTCAGCACTGACTTGCCAAATACAGCTACAACCTCCTTTATATTCCAGATCCTCATGAATAGCCCATATTAAGGTGAAGAACCAACTACTTTCTCCTTCAGGGAGCCTAAAAGAAGGATTTGACTCTGGCTGCTTTCAGCCTAAAGGAGCAACCTGGAAAAAAAAATCACTGACATTGGTTTTTGGATGTCGTCTTTGCATCATATGGGCTGCGATAGACTGAGCCAAATCCAGAGTTCAGCTATTCCCTCAATTTGCTTCTCAAATTAATGTGCTACTGAATGAACTACTTCCCAGATCCAGATGTTTGAAGATCTTATTAGTGTCTCTGTTGGAAGATGGGAAATTATTAAATGTGTAATATTTTTTCCTGACACTCCATTCTCCAAACCTCACCCACATGCTATTAATGAATATTAATCTAAGGAAGTTTTGGTTTTGCAATTCACTTCAAACATAGGATGATTATTAATAACATATTTCAGAGGCACGGGGAGCTGTTGCATAATTTTTGCTTCAACAACAGAGGCCAGGATAGCTCAGATTTCCCCCTCTCACTCACTCACTTGCTCTTGGTTTTTTCCCTTCAGAAGTTCACCACCCAGAACCAAGCCCAAATTTTCAAAAGAGCCCAGGTCTTTTAAGTTGACAGATAAAAGTGGCCAGATATTTTTTCTTTTTATCCCCCCACCCAAGCCCGGCATGTTGAGTATCTCACTTATTTGCAAAACTAATGGTTTCCTTAAGTGACAGCCAAGCACTTCAGAAAATCTATCTGCAGTCAAGATTTGGAAAGCTTTCTCTGCTTTCCAGCATAGCACTTGCTCTCTGCAAAACTTCGCACTCTACTTCATATATTTCAGTCTAGCATTCTTTTTACTTACACAAATGATGAGCATATCGCAAATGGAACACATCACAGCCATGAACATGGTGGTAGAGGGTTTTTTCTATCAGGTCTTGGGGCTCATATCCAGTTAATTCAGTCACCCTAGAAATGGAAGGTTCCATAATAAGCAAAATCTCTAGGAATATTCAATTTCATTAACCTAACATTTGCTGGTGACAGCAAATCAGGTGCCTAAAAATTGCAGGACAAAATGTTAGTTTTGGAAAGAGAATCCTCATCTTTATAAGAAAATAAACCCTCTCAACCCAGCCAAAACAAGGTGCAGCTAATTCTCTGGCCAGCCTTACACCCAGGCAGGAAAAAGTTCTTTTACTTATTTCCACTTCGGGCATTTGCCACTGCCATGCATGATCCTTTGCACAAAGATCCGGTTGAGGAGCCGTTCATGAAACAATAGAACTACTCTTGTGGACTGCTGACACATTTTAATTTGCTTTTGTAAATATAAAAATGTAGCATATGTGTTAGTCCATAGAAGCTGTGATCGTGGTCTGTAAATAAATTCAGGTTAACACCTAACAGAAGAAGGAAGCAGGAGCTTATTCCAGCTGAGAATGTGGAAAGACAAGGGGTTGTGAGGATCACAAACTAAGAAAAGGAAGGCTGAAGGTAGACTTCAGAAAAATGTCCTATGATGGGAAATGGGATAATGGAACAAATTTGAAACAGCAGCACCTCTGCAGATGTTAAAGACCCAGACTACACTGAGTCAGACCTGAAGAGTCAGACTTCATGGTTCAAAATGGACTTTTGTTTATTTAGCATAGTTGCTAGAGAAAAAATCCTTAAAGTACAAAGTACAACTCAGCCATAACGTGGCTTGGTTACCTAGTGTTGCTGGGGATGTTTTACCCTGTCCTGGGCTCTCTGCACCTAAAAAAAGGCAGAACAGAGCAGAACGTGCAAAGGCATGTCTACAATAATAAGCATCACAGTCCATTAGCAGGCTATCTGTAGAGTAAAATTGCTGCTGCTGGGGTTCTACTGTTGCAGCAGCAGGTGCATCTGCATAGTTTAATTATGGGACTTTTACTAGGGACTAGCTCCAGTCTAGACTTCTGGGCTTGGAGTGCCTTAGACATGCTCTTGGAGGCTGTACTCCAGTTTAGATGATTGATTCAGAAGGAATACAGTTCACATGCCCAAGACCTCTTTATAACTAGTGCAATGAGTGGGGATGGTCAGGACATTCCCAAGTCTGAAACACTAATGAGATACACTGTATCAGAGAATAACACAGTAGTGTCTACAGAAATAAATAGATGGGTCTCAAGCAACATGTGTCATTGGGGGGCAGCAGGCAATTTGATTACTTTTTTAAATTAAGTTTTAGTGACTATTATGTATCCTGTTTACTCGTACCCTAATGTTCAGCAATCATGCGGGCCCCACAAAGACTGGGGACTTTACATTCTACTTGAGAGAGAGCACTGAGGGGGAGGATTCTTCTGAAGGAAATTGAAAAACAACCAGGAAAAACAATAATGTCTTCATGGTCTGATGTATTATAAATACAGTATATTTATATCCATACCTCCCCTAGCTGCGCCTTCATCTGGGAAACTCTTGCATGCCTTTGCTTTAGTCAGGGACTGCCACTGTGGGGTGAGCACATGTGGTCTCTTTCTGCAGCAGGATATATGAATATACGCTTGTGTTTCTCCTCTACGGTGTGCGCTGTCCCTTGTAAGTGTGGCTTACAGTTCTAGAAGCCCAAGTTCTCAGTTAAGCCTACCAGCATGGTGAAATACTGGTGAAAGATCCTGTTCAAGTTTCAGTGCTCCTTCTGACTTCAGTGCAATTAAAACAAAGGTAGCAGTTTCATCCCACTCAGGTGGCGCGTACAGAAACAGCTAACCCAAAACCAAACAAAATGCCACAAACCTAAGCCAAGTGTTAATTTTTCTGGAGGCACAGCCTCACTTTGAAGCTGGTTTTCTCATGGGCCAAAAAAAAAACCATCATTAACTGGTTTGAGGACACCCAGACTTTTGAAAACTGAATCTAGAAGCACTCACTCAGCTGCTCGACCTCCTTAACACAAACCTAGCCCCTCAATAAGCCACGCTAGGGATCCTGGGCTCTAAAGATTGTTCTTTGCATGTGACAGGGCACACAAAAGGAAACAGAGTTTGCCTCAATGATCAGTTCTGTCCTTTAAAGCCTTTATAAACCATATAGCAGTGACTGCATAGGCCGCACCATGAAACTCAGAAGCAGCAGATCACGTTGGAGGGAAGTGTCTCCTTTTTCCAGTGACTCTTGATAAATGAACTCTTTCATATTTCAGTTGTCTAAAAAGGCTTATTTAACTGCTCCTTCCAATGGCTTTCATACTGGCCTGTCTGCTGTGACTGTTACCTCTAAAGATCTAGCAACAGTTTTCCCTGTATGGATACCAGAAGCAAGCCTGAAAACAGTTTTGTCTTATTCCTAATATGTCCCTGCTCTGAGCAAACACAATTTGGTTTGCTCAGCTGGAAGAGCAACAGGCTTCGGTAGTGCTTAATACCCCTGATCGTCCTGTGTGCAGACAACACTCATCCGCTCTTTGGTAAACCCAGCTATATGCAACAGCGCTGGTTCTTTCTGTGCTCCTGTCAACACCTCTGGTTATACAGTTTCCTTTGAAGACACTGTGTCTCCAGGCAGTTCCTCTTAGGCACATAATTTCATTTTTTTCTGCATGCAAGGACATGTTGCTAACCCCCGTGTGCTTCTTTGTAGCTGTTACATTAAGTAAAGCATGCCAAAAAAAGGAAGAATTCCAGAAACAGCTAGTTCTTTGTATTTTAGCATCGGATGGCCCACTATCTCATTGACTCAGCATGGCCAGAGCATGCTCTTTCATGGTTGACCTGCCATGCAAAATTTCCTCACTGGATACAGACTCTTTTTCGCTATTACACATGAACATCATTTCTGACTCTTGCAAATCCCGCATGCCAGAGAAATGACAGAGTATGTGACATACTGCTCCACATGCAGGGATAGTTTGAAGAAAGATTATCTTGTCAATAGCCAAATCTGTTATATTGTGTGGGAATCGGGCTTTTTCCCTCCAGTCATCTGGAGCTGCACCGTTTCTGTTTTGTGCTCTTCTTAGCTGTGTGAGCTACATAAACTGAGAGTGAAGACAGGGTTCTCTTTCCTCAGCAACAGCCATTTTTACAAGTTTTGTGTAAAATGGCAGTGTTTTCATGTAGTAGCCAATTCATTTTTATTCTAACCCCATTAGTAGGGTTGGTTTCATTGTTAAGGCATTACACTGAAGCGCAGAAGACTTTTCTTACTACTCTGTCAAAAGCTTTCTGGATGACCTCAGAAAGCACTTCAGTTGTGTTTGGTTTGGTCGTTTGCTTGTTTGTTTTGTTTTGCTTTGTTTTGGGATGATGGTACATCCTTATTCCTTTTGCTAGCTTAGTATGTTCTTTAAGGTAAAAATATATTGCTACTCATTTATCAATTACTCACAGCAGGAAGGCTTCAGTTGGCTTTCTGAAACTGTAAGTAACTATAAGCTAAACTGTACATGCTCTTATATGCTGGCACCCGACAAAGTATGGTCTATCCAGATACCCAGAGGGCTTTGAAGACCCATATGTTTTTTGTGCCATGGATCTATTTTGGATTGCTTTATTTTTTCATGGATGTTTTGATCTGTTTGGAAACCATTGTAGCTTATGATAACACTTGATTTTAAAAACATTTTATGCTGGAAATGAAATAGCTGCTTACCTGGAATCTAGGAATATTAATTTTAAGTCCAAACTTGCTCTGAACATAAACATGTTACTGTGAAGTTTGATCTCAGTGATTGCACTGGGAGGTAAAGATTGACCTACAGCCACCAGTCCAACGATTTGGTAACAGGAATCATACAGAGACATATCCAGCATATACTGCCGTATCTTCAGATAGCCGCTGCAGTGGATCACCTGGCATGAGAAGAAAACACACTCAGTATCTGATGGCAATGGAAGAGGCTGCAAGCCAGCTGACCACCCAGTTTCAATGAGGTTACAAAGCAATACACCCTTATAACACTTACATACTGCATAGTCTATTAAGGCTTCAGAAGTGCAGTTAATTTATAAATGGAGATTCAAACACAGTAAACGCAGGTCTTGTGTTTACTGCCAACATGATAAATCCAGTATTAAAATACATGCTCTTTGGTGACTACCTAGACTTTTTCTAGTTAATACTTTAAACCCTCTTTAATATAGATTTCTCATTGATACAGTCAGAATTCCTGTTATTAATCAAAAAATACAGAAGCTGCTTTTTCAAATGGCTCTCTCTCACATACACAGAGGTATATATAAGCATTTATATTTTAATGAGTTATTATTCTGATGAAAACCAGACACTTTAAAAATCCCATGAAGATTAATGCATCACATTTATAAAAATTAACTGCTGTATGCTAAATGCACTAGAAATGAGCTTAAGATTTCCATTAAAGTTCAGATGACGTTCTTTTGACATATGTCCAAGCCCAGGGTCTTGAGAGCAGACTTCAGTGTTAAAGTGTAAAAATTCACTATGTCAGCTAAAGAGAGGGTAAAATTGTAACCTGGGGATTATCCAGAACATAAGATTTCTTTAATGTAGTGCTGGTGTTTAGAAATCATTTGTGCTCCTTCCAATTTTCTAGTCCAAACAGCAGACATACTACACATCATTCAGCTTAATTCTGTATTAGCTTCACTTTTAATTGTGTCCAATGGAAATGAATTAATTTCTACTTTCAGGAGAATTTAGGTTCAGGGGTATTTAGTACCCCTGAACAACCTACTAAATAGTCACCTATAAATGGGCTTCTCCTGTATAACCTTCATTCCTCCTCTCTAATGACCGAAGTAATTAGTATGTTTAGCAGAAGTACAGTAGCAAGAGAAACTTATTTTAGATCCCTCTTCAGATCCTACTCATTGCCATACTCTTCAGTTTATGAGGTTTTCTTGTGCTTCAGCTAATCAGGTGATATTTTCAAAATAATTAAGTCCTGACTCTAAGTACTGTCAGAGAATAAATTTAGGCCAACTTCTTTCTAGATAAATACATCCTCAAATTTTCACTGTGCAAACTTTTAATAGTGAGCAAAAGAAAAAAAAGAAGGTGATCCCTATGTTATAAATGGGGAGAAAAGAAATAAATAAAAATTAAAAAAAGAAGAAGAAAAAAACCCACTTACAAATATACAGAGATACCACCATTACAGACTCTTTTGCCTGATTTCCAATTCAGCTTTGGGACAGAATCATTCTTATTGGGAAGCAGCTGAGCAAACATGAGTCCATGTAATGAAGAATTATCAGTCTAACCAGGTAGATAGCAGTGTAAATAGACAGATATATGCCTGGACTTTGAACACATTCTTTTAAAGAGCTCTGCTTCTCTTGTGTGCTTTCCGTTTTGTTTTTGAATGACTTGAACAAAATGAATCCTCACCAGACTGCATATGAAGTACCCTTCTCTCCTGATGCTTAAGGAATAGAATTATACTGTGCAGCTCAAAGAGCAGCAAATGCACACTGCGGGGCTGAAAATAACTACGTGAATGGCAGGTGTTATTACAGAATCTCAGCATTTGCTATGGCTTCTCATTTAATGTAACAAATAAGAAACTAACACAAATGGTAAGATTTATTAACAGACTTGGTGGTTTGATACAATTCAACCCCAAGTTGATAGTAATGATTGTTTGTGGTAACATTACAGTCTCATTAATGTTAAGGTAATTCTGGTAAGGCCAGTGAAGTGACTAGTATGACGGGGTGGCTGCTCAGCCAGAGCACAGTAACACCAAGGCAGAGGGATGCAGGAAGACTTCCGAGTTCCTGCCTCACCTGCCTCCAGTTCCATAGGGGAGTAATACCCAGCTATGTGCTCTCCTTGCATGTCCAGGGCTGTCCTCCAGCCAGTTCTCCAGCCTTGAAGATCAGGAATCAGTATGTGGGAATGTGCCACAAAAGCAAACTAACACACTGTGAGAGTCTAGGCTTGCATTACTAAGGGAATCTGCAATCAGCAGTGGCAATTTTTTGACCTGTTCTGATTGTTTCCATCACAGATTTTGTTTTCCGCTACACATAGGTAAAAACCACTACATAAATCAACTTGTCATTTCTTGAATACTTGGGGTGGGGGCTAAGAGGGAGGCTGCAAAGCTTATATACATTACCTTGTAGCCACTGCATGTCAATCCTGCATTCCTCTTGGCTAGGACACACTTCATTCTCAGGAAAAATGACCTCTCAATTTCATATTCTGAAAGCACAAACCACACTGATCATTTATTACTGAAGATTTCAAAACTGTCCATAATATTGCCTTTCATTATTTAACAGATGAGTTTATGTCTCAGCCTTTGACAGCTGCAGAAGTCGGCCATTCTACTTTCCTGCTCAATCTCTGCCCTCAGAATTTGTTTCACCTTCACGTTAGGATTCCCTGCGAAAGCTGTACAAGCATGACTAGGTCTCTAAATTTCTGGTTTTACCACCATTCATAAGGCAATCACCTTGTTTCTAAACATCTGGGTACCAGCCCAAATTGGTAAGGTAAGGAAATGTATCCTTTGGAGTGCAGGTAAATGAAAGTACTCTCCAAAATAATAGTAGAATGGGAAACAAGAAAATTCATTGGTTTTGTAGTAACTTGAGTATATGTTGATAGTCATGCCTAGACCGGAGGACTTCTGACCTCCATCTGCAATATTATTACCTGTTTCACTGACTTCCAAAACCATCTTGATAGATGGCTTTTAAACAAATTTCTTCATGGGTAACCTCCAGAAGTGTTTAAAGTTAAATATTGCTCTGGTACCCACTTATTTTCCGCTAAGGATAAGTTACTATTATTTTTAACATTAATTATTCTCAATAACAGTTCAGACATCATTAATTAGTTCAGGTTTTTTACTGAAAGTTGTGGTTTTGCAGAACACAACTGCATTAGGAAAAGGCAACTTGTTTTGTATGTTTGTGAACAGAAAAATCAGGGAAGTAGAGAGGTATTCAGATTTGTTGTAATGTGTATTACCTCCTAATTCCCCACAGAGATTGATCAGAAGTCCACTGTAAACAATTCAATTTGATTTAATTATTGTGTTCCTGATTTTTGTGCATCCATCACCCAATTAACACCTCTTAGCCACACACCTGCATTGGCTTGAGCCTCAGAACACTACCTGGAACCGATAAGCTCTATATAAAGTTCCAAGTTTAAAGGTCTGAAGATACAACCACAGAAAAAGGATTTAGTGAAAAGAGAAGTGCATCCCAACTAGAAACAGCCTTCTTGAGTATGTGAATTTTCCATTTATCTTCCTAATGCAAATTAGATCCATATGCGGAAAAGCAGGCACTTAAATGAACTGGCATATCTACTGGAGTTTTAAATACAAATGTATACAGTTTGGTGGGAGGAAGCCATACAGTACAGATTACTATTGCTGAAGCATGATCTCACAAGTAAAGAATGGATTTGAGAGTTGGGAACATGCAATTCATGGCTTCAATACAGATTTTCTGTGTGACTTCACACTAGCTCTTGCTCTCTTTTTGCCACAGTCCCATGCACACAAAATAAAGGTAACTTTCTCCCTTCAAGGGGGCAAGGGAGAAAAATAATGAACAGCAATGAACATATAAAGACCATCCTCTCACGTGGACTCAGTTGCTAGCAATTTAAATGACTTTCATTCTTCTATAAAAAAATGATTAGTGGAAGCAGAAGCAGAAACTTCTCATATGTCCTGCCACAAGACCTAAAAGGTTCTCTTTCAGTGATGAACTCCCTCCAGACACCCTATTCATTAGCCTTCTATTTGTTGCTTGCTTCATTTTTAAATATTACTGCAGACTGGTGTACTGCTACCAGAAACACCCAGTTCTAACTTCATTCTTCCACCAGGAATAGGTTCTGAAACACTGTGTGGTTTTTAGGCATCTATAAAACTAGAGTAGTACCTAGACTGTAGGATAATATTTTGCTTTTATTGTTGAAATGGGTCATCATTGCATTATTTTAGAAGAGATCTTGTGTCTCTGATTTCATTATGGTAGATTGTAAGCAAGAGGTCCCCTGAACGCCGGTCCTTGTAACTAGCTACAGGTTCTCTAGGAAACCGGTAGAGTGTTTAAAACAATTCCAGGACAAACAGGTTGTGTGGTGTAGGAGGCCAGAGTAAATGAAACTAGAGTTGACTCCTACTTCTTCTAAGTGGTGTGGAGAGGGAAGGTTGATAGAATTGTGATTCAATAGACAGAAGAGTAATAATCAGTAGCTTTGTTGTTATGTGCAACCAAGTTCAAAAATCTGTACCTGCAATTTAATAATGATGTGTTTATTAATTATTGATCATTGAATTAATAGGGTTTAGTAGTGTGTTGCTGAACCAAGACTAGTCTCTTAAATCAGTTTATCATACACCTGCAATCTAAAGAGGGAAAATTTATCCATGATGTAACTTGAGACTCATCTGGGAGCTTCCATTTTTGAGGCTTTATCTAGCTGATATGAAAATGCCTTAAGTAAGCAAATGGAGAGATGGTCCACGTGGCCAAAAAAGAATCTGGGCTCTGACTGACGTGCTGCTTTACCTGAACAGGACAAAGTAATGTATACATGATGGTAAGTGTTCCTCCTATGTCTATTAAGGGTGATTTTGTTTGTGTGGGAGCCCACTGATGATGCAAGAGTTGCATCCCTACACTGGGGAGGAGGGCAACAGGAATTGTCTAAAGGAGAAAAAGAGAGACTGACTATTCCCAGATGGTCTGAGACCATAAGAACTGTTAAAGCAGTTATTTAGTAATGCAAAGTGTCTACAGCACAGGTGGATGCAGAGTGTTACAGTTGGGATTGTTACAATGGCTGGGTAAGGCTCACGGTTGTATCAAGGTGCCCAAAGAATAACATGCAGGTGTCAGATGGCATCTGGCATCTTGTTTGCAGGATTAGACTTGAGGAACACGAAAGCTACCAGAGAGAGATCCTTGTAGGTGTGCGTGTGAGTGCATAAAATCCACTAGCAAGCTCTGAGACTGACTCACTGGCAAGGAAGAGCAGGACCAGACCATTTATGTTGTTCATGCTTGCGTGAGTTCCATTAGTGTGCATGTGGTGCCTGTTCTTCTGTCTGTGTTGACCTGTCATCCATAGGCTCTGTGAACATGTATCTTTGTGTACACCTACTGGGAATAAAACCATCTCCAGACCTTACCAAGCGATTGCAAAATACGAAGAAGCAGTAAGACCAAAACTGTCACATAAAAAGCCTAGATGTGCAAGACTGTGAACAGTGTGAATTAGTACTCGTATTAACTGATACTTTTGCCAGTGTGACTCCCCAGTAACCTGCAAAGTAGCAGAAGGGGATATCAAAGCAAAAAAAAGAACTAAAGTAAATTTGTAATAGTAAAGCTGATTAGGAAATAAAGAGGCCCCGGCATCCTGCTGGATGTTAATACATCCATCGATATAATGCAAAACTTAAAATATCACATCCAGGCTGTATCTGATGCAGTTAAGATGGTCTACTCTGATGAAGAGAACGTAGAAAGAAAATGAGGTACTTAAAGGTTTAGCAAGCCAAGAGAGAGATGTTGAATATTCAAATAAGAGAAATCAGATGAGTTGTGAGAAGAGTGATTACTAATGCATGCTGTCCTGCTGCAGAGGTTAATCCCAAAACTGTAGGGAGATATTAGGCATGAAAGCTCAGTTTTAAAGCTGGACAAAAAGCCTGTAGCTTTAAATAGCCAGCACCTGCTCTGAAAGCAGATTGACCAGAGATGTCCAAGGATGTAGAAAACTCTCAAATTAAAGAAGATAGAAACCCAGTAAATGTAAAATATTCAGTCCAGGGTTAAGTAAAAGGTGAATGTAACCAATTATTCTTAAGGGTTAAGTGATTTTATCAATCAGAATTAAGTTTTGAAAAAATTCAAAAATATAACAACATAGAGCATCTTGACATAGTAATGTAATTATTGATACCGCTAAGGTTCTTTCAAGCAAACATGTAAGCACAGCACATGTAAATGACAGAAAGAATCTTAGGCTATCAAGAAACTGGAAGTGGTTTGAAACAGAGAGGAAACCGATTAAGTTCTGACAGTTCTTAAGTAATTAAAGACTGTATGTTGAACACTGATAGGCTTGGGACATCAACCACCTCTCTGTTCCAGTGTTCAACCACCCTTTCAGTAAAGAAATACTTCCTAACGTCCAGTTTAAACCTCCCCTGATGCAGCTTCAAACCATTCCCACACGTTATCACCAGATACCAGGGAGAAAAGCTCAGCACCTCCCTCTTCATGTCCTCTCCTCAGAAAGCTGTACAGAGCAATGGGGTCACCCCTCAGCCTCCTTTTCTCCAAACTAGACAAACCTGAAGTCCTTAGCTGCCCCTCACAGAACATTCCTTCCAGCCCTTCCATCAGCTTTGTTCCCCTCCTCTGGATGCATTCAAGGGCCTTCACACCTGTCATGGGCTGAACCCAGGACAGCATCCTTCTTAAATTGCACAACCCAACACTGCACACAGCACTCAAGGTGAGGCCACACCAATGCTGAATACAGGGGGATAATTGCTTATTTTAGCTGGCTGGTTATACAGCGTTTGATGCGCCCCGGAATGCGGCTCATCCTCTTGGCTGCCAAAGCCATACCCAGCTCAGCATCAACCAGCACGCCCAGATCCCTTTCTGCAGGGCTGCTTTCCAGCCACTCCTCTCCCAGCCACTTGAGGTTTAAAAAAAGTGAGCAGTCACCACATGGAGATGGCCAATTTTACAGCAAATCATGCTAAATTTCACTGTTGTTGTACCTCTTATTCAGCACTATTTCTCTGAAATATCTACTCTTCCAGCAATTCCACTACATATGACAAAATTTGTCCATTTAATTGCACCTTCTCTAGCATTTGCTACAGCCATCTGTAATTCTGACAAACAGCTGTGTATTGCTATGAAAGGTTTTACTGAAGTTCTCCTTTATGGGGGTAAATATTGCAGAATGGATCTGCTTTTCCCATCTTCCCCATTACTTTCTATGCCAGCAACCATTTTCCCTCTTTACCTAAATGTGACTTGTTTCCCTCTCCCAAACAATTTCAAGATAATTGGGAAATTGATCCTTCTTTTCAGAAGTGAGTTGTATAAATTTCAAGGTTTGTACATTTTTCTATTCAAGTTTTTTGTTTTGTTTTTTTTTCAGAAGATGAGTCAAGAAAATGTCTCAATAGCTGCTATAGTTAAAAA